ATGGTCAGATAATTCACAATCATCACACACCGGTAGATCTGGTGCCTCTGTGGCAGGAGACTTCTGAAAAAAGGCTTCTGTGGTGTGCACACACATACTCACCTGCCACTGTATTAGGTACACCTGGGTAGTACCTAATGGACCTCCTTTTTCCTTCAGACATGTGTGCAACAAGGTGCTGGATTCCCTTTAAACTACAGATGTTTTTGTGGGAAAATCCCACTAAATCAGAGGTTCTGATACTTGAGCTTCGGTAGGTTGATGTAACCATGGCTACATGCCTAAATCCATGAAGTTTCTGCCATGTGATTGGCCGACTAGATATTGGTTTATTGACGAGCAGTTGAACTGGTTTAAGTAATGAAGTGAGTACATTTGGAAATAGTCTGTAGTAATTGAAAATGTATACATATCTCAAAACTGTAAACCACAAGTCTGTGAGATTAACTTTGTATAACTTTAGCAGGCAAACTTAACCTCATCCTTACTTTTGCTAATTAAGCTAGCGCTTTTCAGGTTCTTGAACCAATATTTGTGTCTGTGTTTGACTGACTAGCTCGTGTGAACTTGTTTTTGCTGAACAGAGGATATTTTCCCATGTAAGGACTGTGGGATCTGGTACCGTAGTGAGAGGAACCTGCAGGCCCATCTTATGTACTATTGTGCCAGCCGACAGAAGCAGCCAGCTGCAGCTTCCTCCCCTCCACAAGACAAACCCAAGGAGTCCTACCCCAATGAACGCATCTGCCCCTTCCCGCAGTGCAACAAGAGCTGCCCCAGTGCCAGCTCACTCGAGATCCACATGCGCACACACAGTGGTGAGAGCAGTATTTATATCTATGCATAAAAGGGTCAGAGCATCTGGGCCTGACTGTTATCCTTCTCCATCCTTCCACAGGCGAGCGTCCATTTGTCTGTCTCATCTGTCTGTCAGCATTCACCACTAAAGCGAACTGTGAGCGGCACCTTAAGGTCCATACGGACACCCTGAACGGGGTGTGTCACGGCTGCGGCTTCGTCTCCACCACGAGGGACATCCTCTACAGCCATCTGGTCACCAGCCACATGGTTTGCCAGCCTGGATCTCGCAGTGAGGTGTACTCTCCGGGGCCAGGTCTCCCTAAGCTACCCCTGTCCATCGGTAAGTCATTCCCTCATATTCTGTTATTTTTTATAATTGGATTACGTAGCAGTAACTTTAAAAGGTTCACTGCTGGAAAGCCGGCACGTTGGCCCTTTTTTGTCCTTTAACCCTCCTGAGATTGTTGGAAATTTTGGACATGTTTAATCTTAATCATGTTTAAGTTATTCAAATGTAAGCGACTGTTTTAATTTACTAACCTTGACTCTCCTGTTAAGGTCTGAGTCCAGGAGACTCTGGTGTCGTGCTGAAGTGTCAAGTTTGTGGCCACAACGCTGACTCGCCTGCTCAGCTCCAGCAACATGTACGAACTCACCTGGAAGTCAGGGTCCCGGCTGAAAGAAGCCCTACTCCTCGTCAGAGTACCCCATCGTCGGTCGACCACTCCCAACCGTCTCCCCCGGAGAAGGAACCCCTGGCTTCATCCAGTCCAGGCACGAACGGAGGCTCAGCCACTCCTCGAGACTGCAGTCCTGCTGATGACCAGATCCTGGAGTTAAAGATCAAAGAGGAGCCTCATTCAGATTCAGACACAGAAGAGCAGAAAATGGAGATTAAGGAGGATGGAGAGGAGGAGGAGGAGGAGGAGATGGGTGAAGAGGAGGTAGATCAAGAGGCAGGAAGGAACATAAAAGAGGTGCAAACGACCTCCTCCAGCCAAACATCGAACTCGCCGAAGAGTCCAGCTACAACAACGGTGAAGGCAGAACCCACTAGTCCCACCCCTGGTTCTAGCCCTGCCCATATGGGAGGTGCAGGCTCAGTTGTTCCAGGAGGAGCGCTGTTCCTGCCTCAGTACATGTTTAACCCCGAGGCAGCCATCCTGCCTCAGGCCTCGGAGATCCTGGCTAAAATGTCAGAGATGGTCCACAGTCGCCTAAAGCAGGGCCAGACGGTCGCCCAGAACAACGCCGCAGCCTTCTTTCCTTCTGGACCGACTGCACCCACGGCGACAGCCACTCCACCTCACAAAGGAGCTACCTGCTTCGAGTGCGATATCACCTTCAATAACATCAACAATTTCTATGCACACAAGAGGCTTTATTGCTCAAGCAGGCATCAAGGCGAAGGCGCATCCTCAGCCTCGGGCGCCGCATTGACTAGAGACGCAGCCTCGGCCGCCGCGCCTTCTGCTGGGACACGCGGCTCATCTGCATCTCCTCAGGGCGGAGCGTCAAGTAGGGCCGCCTCTGCCTCGCCGTCTGACTCCGAGCCTCCTGCAGGAAGTGGAGCAGCAGAATCCAGGAGGGTGCTGGAGGTGAAGACCGAACCTCCAGCGGGGACAGAGGGAATCCCGTCCTCTTCTGAAGGGGAAGGTGCAGGTACGAGTGTGGGAGGCGGAGGAGGAGGACGAGCAAGTGAAGGCAGCCAGAGTCCTGCTAGCGGTTCCACAGAGGACCTTGATGACGATCCCAACAGAACCTTCTGCGAAGCCTGCAACATCCGTTTCAGCCGTCACGACAACTACACTGTCCACAAACGTTTCTACTGTGCGTCGCGCCACGACCCGTCCAACCAGAGAGCCGTACACATGGCCAAGACCACCAACACAGCCGCCTTCATTCCGCAGCCCATCCGAACACGCAAAAGAAAGAAGATGTATGAGATTCACATGGCGAGAACCGAGGCGTTAGCTAACGCTGCCGCTGCTGCAGCAGCGGCGGCAGCCACTGCCGCCGCCTCTGCTCCATCCCCCTCGGTTCTGGGCTTGGTAGTAAAGCAGGAAGTCTCTCCCAGTGGTGCAGGTGGCTCAAGCCCCGAAGGAGATGGCCCAATCGACCTGAGCAAGAGGCCCCGTCTCAGAGATGCTCCACGGCACGGCGGCAGCGGCGGCGGCAGCAGCATTCTCCCAGCCCTGCCTCTCACCGACTACCACAAGTGCACAGCCTGCAGCATCAGTTTCAACAGTATTGAGAACTACCTGGCTCATAAAACATACTACTGCCCCGCCACCACCCTCCAACCCCACACTTTGGAGCAGCTTCACAGGCTCAAGAGATCAGCCTCCACCTCTCCAAAAAGCAGGCCTCAGCAGGAGCGTTCGGATCTCCTGCACCCTGTGGAGAATAAAGCTCACCCAGCTGAGTGGGTGGCCCAGGCTCAGGGCACGTCATCCAGTCCTCACACCTCTGCCTTACCCGCCTCGGATGCTGCATCTCCTTTGCATACGAATACCACACTTGCAGCCTCTCCAGGAGCTGGAGCCAAAAGCGTGGTCACGGCTTCTGCTCAGATGGTCTGCCCATACTGTCCCAACAGGCCCATCGCTGGTGACTTGATGGAGCATTTCAAGACTACCCACGGGCTGGTTGTAACCATTCAGCCACCCCAGGAGACTCTGCCCCATCTGGGCAGAACAGCGAGCCGCAGCCCGAGCCTGAGTCCCAGGGACGGAGCCGCCGCAGCGACTTCAGCTACTCCAACCAACCAGGCCAGACTTGTCTCTCGAGTTCACAGAGACAGCATCAACGGGCAGGGTCGGAGTGGTACAGCTTCCCCCGTTTCGCCCCTAGTGAACGGCAGCCCCTCCGCCGGGGGCGGATCACCGTTAGCCAGTTCTCCTCTGCCTGTGTCTCCCCCAAGGGCTCCGTCTCTGACTTTGTCACCTGTGCCTGAGGTCCTGAGGGAGAAGCTGGGATCGTCACACGTTCCGGACAAGGCCGCCCAGACCGCGGCCTCCCACGCGATCCCCGTACCCAGCGTCAGTCCTAAAACCACCCCGGTCATCTCCCCCGTGCAGAACGGTAACTCGCGCTTCTGTCGGCTGTGCAACATCAAGTTCAGCAGCCTCTCCACGTTCATAGCTCACAAGAAATACTACTGCTCTTCCCACAGTGCCGAACACGTTAAGTGAGCTAAGACACTTTTGATTTTTCCCTTCCCTTTCATCTTTCTGAGCGGAAGTTTTCCTTCACTAAGTTTTAAATGGCTCAGAGGGTCCTCCTCCCCCGCCAGTGTCCCACATAGGTGCCAAAACGGGTGGCATCACCACGAATGACAGTGAACGACTGTTACTCACCTGGCAAGGCCTGATGCCTGGCTCCTCCGGAGCAGAATTCCCAGGTGGTGTTACTCACATACAGAAACTGAAATTCCTCCTATGGGTCAAAGTGTGTAGTACACTAAGAGCTGAGACACATGCTACCTGCACACTGGTGTGCCCTCGTCCCGAAGATCACTCTTTGTACACCAGTCGCCGATTCAACACTTACCACACCCTCGCCTCACAGTAGTGTTATTATGGGACGCTAAATAGATGTATGTCAACAAAACCTTTTTTCCGTCTCTGAACTGAGCTTTTCATGGCAGTAATTCCATTCTGACTGATGATGATGATGATGATAGTGCATCTCCAGTGTTTCCCCGCCCCCTGAGCTCTTTTACGTTCCCAGACCTAAACGGAGGAATCACTTCTCTCGTGTGGAAAAAAAAAAGACTTGATCATTGTTGATGTTTTTATTATCTGTGCATAGTGTATGATGTCTGAAAAGAAAAGAATTCTATGCTTTTGGGTTCAACACTGGCTCTTTTCTGCTTACTAGAGAAGCTGAGGCATTTTAGCTGACACGCAGATACGTGCTATCATGATGTTACTAATTACTGAAGGATAATATTTCAAAATGGGACTTTTTTTTTCCTTTCATACACACAAATTTTTATTTTCTCTGTAAAAAAAAAAAATGCAAGGAAGAAGAAAAAAGATGTGAAATATTTATCTTTTAGTCGTCACTGATTTCATGTCAACAGAAAACTACCTACTTAGTGTCCGAGAGTATTTGTATTTTTTATTTGTATATTTTTCATACTGGTGGAAAGTTTGGATCGGGGTGTGTTGAAGTGAATTTTCTAAGTGTAGATATGTAATATCTTTTCACAGTAATCGCTGGGATCACACTGAACTTTATCATGTTAGTATTTCTCGTTCTGTTAATGTGGGCTGTAATCGACGCCGTCTGAAAACCAGCACAGCTTTTCCTTTTTTTGTCTTTCTATTTTTAACCCCACGATTCGTGCAGAACAGCCGTTCGTTTCCACGCCGTCACGTCCGAACATTGAAGGGAGCTCGTTGGACACTGCTGCGTTCACACTTTGGTGAGAGTGACGAAGCTTTCCACATTTTTAGGTTACGCGAAAATCCACATTTTCAGTAAGATGTTTGTCTTCAGACACACACACACAGCTTTACATTATTTGTTGCAAACTTCACTCTCATACTAAGGCATATTTATTATTATGATTGTACTTCTCTCCGGCAATGAAGGCAAAACAGTGAACAGTCACATGTTGGTGTAAGACAAAAGAAAAGTAAGCACATATAACCATATGTTGTGGCTGTGGTGTGTGTGTGTGTGTCTCATTTGTGCACAGACACACCAGATGTTCCCGTGCTGCTGTTGCAGTTGCAATACAGTGTTACCTAGAACTGTGAATTACTTTTTATTTTTCCGACTGTGATGCAAACTAACCTGTAGCTGCCGAGGGGTAAAAATCTGCATCTACATCACAGCGTTTATCTCCCCCCCAACCCCCGCCCCCCCAGCTTCTCTCAGGTTTTTAGCTCTTTTCATTGTGAGTAGGGATGGAACGATACCAATTTTTTCAAACCGATACGATACCGATACTTGGATCTGAGTACTTGCCGATACAGAGTACAAAAACCGATACTTCTACCACACACACACACACACACACACAGGCATTGGCTGGTCATCCAGAGCGATAAAATGAGTCAGAGCCTCTGTTATTTTAACTGTCTGTGGATTTTCTCTTGACATTTTTCATCGCTTTTCCAAAACCTGAGTTAAAGTTGGCTGTTCTGGTCCACACTGCTGACATTTTGTTTAGCCTAGCTACAGCAGCCTCCAGTTTCTCTTTTTTATCTGGAGCCGCCAGTCTCACTCGCCTTCCCTGTGCCTGTTTAGCGCGGGATGTCCCCCTAGTGGCCAATCTAAAAAACTACAACAGAAATGACAAGCCACCCTCTGATTAATGAAATAAGTTGGTATCGGTTCATGGTATCGGTTAACTTTTACGAGTATGAGTACACACACATTTTACAGTATCGGCCCCGATACCCGATACCAGTATCGGTTTACCCGATATACCAGTATCGGTATCGGGGTATCGGGGCCCCGATACCCGATACCAGTATCGGTATACCCGATATACCAGTATCGGTATCGGTATCGGTGCATCCCTAATTGTGAGCCATTAAAACCGACTCAGACTTTCAAGCGACACTAAAAGTACAGTTTTAAATAGCAGACTGTTAACAAGCCCCAGGAACCCCACCGCCATGTCTTCAAGAAACAAATCTAAATGTAAAGTAATAGAACTAAAATCATTCCTGCTTTTCACAGACTCCTTAAATATTCAGCCAAATTTCACTTTACTTTTTTGACAGTGTGAGTTGTCCATCTTTATATACAGTCTGTGTTGTGATCCTGACGCGACTGGTTTGAGGTCTCGTCTACGCATTAAGTATTTTTTTAAGATGCAGCTTTCGGCCCCTCGCAGACTGTTCCAGATGACTGAAAATGGGCCTCATTCAGAAATTCAGGAGCCATTTAATGTCACGATCCCCCGTGTTTACATGGTTTTCTTCACGACTTTAAGCTTGTGGTTATTTCGCCAACTTGTTGGTTTGGCATGCTCTTAACAGCACTTGGATTTTGTTTTTGCATTTAACGCAGACACAAGTCCACGTGTGTGGAACTAAAGCTGTAGTAGAATTTGGACCTGGTCCGACTGATTGGTGTCCCGGGAGCTGCAAAGATGTTAATGGAACAGGTGTAATATCACCAAGAAAGCTTTTTGTGCATCCATCCACACTGAAGGAGTTTTTCTGCAGGGAAGCAGTGGATCACCTGGTTTTAAGAGTCTTCAGCTGTTTACAAATTCAGGGGGAAAACGTGCACCTAACCACAACCTGGGGGTGTAAAGGGGCTAAAGGAGCATCATATTTGGGGTCAGAGGTCACTGGAAAATTCTCATAAGTAACCTTTAAAGATGTAAGAAACAAGGCAAAGCAGTTATTTACATCCTGCAGTCACAGCAAGATTAGAAAACTAAAAGCAGAACCCTTTTTTATGCTGTGTTCTTCTTCAGAATCTCCTCAGAAACTTTGTTTTTGCCTCTAAATATCCACATTTTTGTAGTTGGTCTCTGTTTTTTTAAAGATGTTGTTTCAGAGACACTGGACCAAAACAGTAACATAACACAGTGTAGAACAAAATGATTGACCAGTTTTAAAGGATACATATAGCGACTCGGTGGTTTCCATACCTTGCTTTTAAAACCTACGATTATATCATATAGATTCATTTTTCATAATTCCAGTTCTTTTTAAATTTAGGAGACATTACCTGTTCCTGTTTAGCTTGGAGCACCAGTGCACCAGACTCCTCACACTGCTGTTTACAGCTGTGGTCTTAAAAGTAGAGAGAAGAACACGCCGTGAGCCACTTTTTCACTGCAGGAACTTTGCAGGAACCTTTGGAGGAGCTCAGGGTGTTTTCACTGTTGGGACTAGGGTCTAAATGAAGTTCTAGGGGTTTTTGTTTGTTTTTTTAAACTCTGAAAGTCCCTGTTCAGGAGGTAGCCCCACCCCCAAAAATTCCTGAGCTTTTTTGGGGGTTGGGTACTTGCTTTCTGAGCTTTTCTGATTGGTCAACTATTCCTAACATTTTAAGCTAGTCTATGTCAGCATCTGCAAAAGCTTTTAAAATCATTTTGCTTTCATTTTGGTCGAGCATTTCTCGACTCATGCCTTCAGTGACTGTTTGCAAAGTTGTAAATCACGAGCGACAGCAGCATCGTTGAATCTCTTCAACGCTGACTGCTGTTATGCAGTCCCCTGTCCCTCACATTACATGCCATTGTCGTCTGCGTTGTTGTATAATCTGTAGCTTGGGGAATGACGTGTAAAAGCTTCCTTGCGTCCATGCAGAGGCCTGACTTTCTTAATCGTCGCAGGTCCTCACACCACAGTGGAAATGCAGAAACCCAATGATCTAATGGACCTTTTAGTTCCTTGAAAGACGTTCCTGGCACTAAAGGTTTTTGGTAGCTGCAGTCATGTCACCTAGTTACAAATGGAGGAACTGAGTGCTGAGAAACCACCCTTAGATCTTGCCGCCTTTTCGTTGCACTGTTGTATAAAAACGTGCTGAATGTTTTAGTTTTAGCTGCTTTTTTTTTTTTTTTCTTTGGTAACGTATTTATGTTTTACGGCACTTTTTCCCGTCCAGAATGCATCCTAGCTCTACCTTGAAGGACGTTTCTGAAAGATTTTAAACCTTGAATAAAACCTTTCTTTGTTTAATTGTAAACTTTTTTTTTTTAATGATTTCTTTGATGTCTGTAACGGAGAAAATCACAATGAATGTCAACACTTTTATGTCCATATTTTTCATTTCAGTTCCACTACACTCATCCAAACTATGCATGGGAAATAAAAAAAAGTTCTGAGAGACACTGATGAGAAGTGTGGCTGTATTTCTCTCTTTGGTGTGATTGCATTTCTTCGGCTTTTAGGGGCAGCTTTAGTACTCGCTTGTGTCTTGTCACTCTTAAATCACAAAGGTTCTACTTTGCAGGTTCTGTTTAACAGTTTGTTAATTTCACATAAAATATAGTATTTGTATATAAAGCAGAGTAAGTCTGCCCTCTAGTGGAGGGTATCACAAAAAGCAGCCTGAAGCCATAGTAGGGCGTGATAGACTCTGTCAATGATTTTGTTTATGTGAGTGATGGGTCTGTGTTTGACCTGACCACCTTAATAAAGCTGTTTTCCAATACTGGTCAATTGAAGTGCTTATTAATAGAACTTAAATTACAGGCATTGACTCTGGTGGGACTCGAACCCACAACCTTTGAATTCCTTCCTCCGTTCTTTGCTAGAAGTCCAACGCGCTATCCATTGCGCCACAGAGCCCTTTGAAGTTCAGTTTGTCATTTAATTGTTTATCTATTGAGTGATTACTTTGAGGTATGAATGGCCGAGCAGGTACGGGTTGAAAATTCATATTTGAAAACATAAGGCCCGTCCTTATGTTTCTAATCTCTTTTTTAAAAAATCCAGCACCAACATAATGTTAATGTTTGGGGTTTTTTATGTTGTGTTTGTTGTAACTGTGTGTGAGCAGGTGAGAAGCAGCTGCTCAAGACACCCTCTAGTGGAGATGATCCCAAACAGCAGCCTGCAGCCACAGAAGGGCATGATAGAGTCTGACAGTGAAGCACAGTTGAACTTGTTTTTAAACCTTAAATATACATCTCAAGTTCTCCAGAATCAGAGTGATGTTTACAGATGGCTGTCCTCCATGATGCGCTGCTCCAGTGTGAATGACTGCGGCTCATGTTTTTCCTTTTCATGCATAAATGGAGTACAAAAATGACATGAAACTGGAACGTGTGTTTTTGATTCAAAATGCTTGCTTGGAAAACTTTGAGAAAAACTTTTTGTACAGTTTTACTCTGTGTTAGAGATCAGTCACTATGATGAATTCATTAGATAACTGAGATTAAGATAGTCAACACCCCTGCTGATGCATTAGATTCTCCACATATAAACTGGACATAGAAACAAATCATAAGGGGTCCCTGGATGATCTAAAAGTAGATGCAGTCATATGATTTTCTGAAAATGTGTAAAGGTTTTAAAACACAACTCCTGATGTTGTACAAAATACATATTTAATGTTAGTGGTTAACTAAGCTGATTTATTGAAATTAAAAAGGAAGCTCGGTGACTGTACCACATATCTTCAGCAGTGCCAAGTGAAACAGCTACATGAGTCACATGTCAGGTGTATAACATGATTGGCTGTTCACAAGGCTGCAGGCAGATCTAAAGAGGGTGAGTTAGACAATATTGGTAAGGCACTTTCACATCACTGAACCAATGAAGTGCTAATTAATAGAAATTGACTCTAGTGGGACTTGAACCCACAACCTTTGAATTACTTCCTCTTTGCTCTTCTAAAAGTCCAGTGCGCTCTCCATTGCACCACAGAGCCCTGAGTGGAAGCAAAAGATCAAGATTTCACAGCCAGTGCAGGTGGACTCAGGTTAGCAAAAATGGACGTGTGCAGGTCTGTGGCCTGTTTGTATTAACTGTATTAATACAAAATCTAAAATCAGTCAAAAAACATAAAATTGAGTTGAAAAATTTTATGTTTTTTACTGTAACAAACACAAACATTACCAAATCATTTTCTTAACTTGAAATGCAAATATAAATTGTTAATTTTAATAACCTATGCACAAGCTTTGCTAACAACAAAGTTATTTGCAGCTATTGACCTAAAAATGCAGCCAAGGCGGGGGGTTTTTATAACCATTTCAAACTATTTACAGAAAAATCAGGTGTTCTGCATCAAATAAGATGCCACACAAATTATTTGTACCACTCCCAAAAATAATTTCTGTCCGCTATAAGATAAAGGAAAACATCACAAACCTGATACTACTGTTTTCCACCTGGTGACAGCTTTTACACTGCAGTCTGCCTTTGGTGGCTTTTTGGTAGCAACTGCAACATTCAGCAATCGCCTCATTGTTGTGACACACAAAGCAAAACTATCCACTACACTACCTGGTAACTACAGACTACAAACACTTTAAACATCACAAATCTCTCACATCTCAAAACTCGCACTCTCTCTTTCGCGCTCTCACCACGGTCACTCCTAAAACTTCCCCCTCTTCCTAAATAACCAAATGCCATTTTGCCATATCATTTTTTTGTTTGGTTGACATGGCAGACTTTCCTACCAATAGGAAAGTGTGGCTTTTTTTGTTTTTGCTTGCAAGCGGAGAGTGCTTTCGAGCACTTTCGAGCACTTTCCCTAGAAAACATCGTTTTTACCGTTTCTTGCTGTAGTAAATATAGTGATAGTATTCAGGAAAAAACTGTGTATATTTTTCTTTATCATAACGCTGGTTTTACGTTGCCTATCAACAGAGAAATATCAACATAGTATCAACATAAGCTATCATATAGCATCACAAACAAAACAAAAATAGTATATATCACATCAATCCATTCATCTATAGTAGGAGTATCCTCTTTAAGCCAAAGGTGAGTTATGGCCTTTTTGGAAGCTACCGACAGCACAATGAACAAATATTTATCCGGTGTGTTTTCAAAAACGTTTTAAAAACAGGAAACAAAGATGCCTGTCTAATAGTTAAAGGCAGCATCTTCCAAAGTTTTGGGGCCATAATTGAAAAGGCTCGTTAAGGGAAAAATCACTGGTTAGCAGTAAGAAATAATGAAGCTCTTAAATGGAAATGTGAAATTTAAAATCTTGACAAATGGAAAAGATCATATGGCTTTTTTAACTAGGATTAAACACTTATCTATGATATTACACATGCACTGGTGTGGATTTGAACCCCATCATTTCGGCAGGGACTGAAGAACGGGTAGAGTTTCTCAGTGAAAGAGCAGCCAATAAATGAGTGAATTAGAGCTGCACCATTGATTTCATAGAAGCAAACCAGGCCTTCATCATAATCTATAAACACTCCCACCTCCTCAATTTCTGAATTCAGAGCTGGATGGCCCGATTTCCATTGCTTAGAGCAAATAGTCCAGTAACCATTTTCAGGGCTCAGATTGGTGCTTTCTCTCTTTAGGTTGCACATGTATTTGGCCACTCCTACTGTCCATGTACAATGGGTTTTAACATTAACCTCAAAGTAAAATCTTCCAAAAGAGAAACCCCGTTTTGACAAAACACATTTACAATTATCATTTGCAGACTGGGAGGCTTTGGGTTGAACTGAATCAGCGTCAAATGTCACCTTAACTTTGTAATCCCTAACCCTCTTCAGTTCAGCCCTCGTCACTTTCCTTATCTCACTTCTGAGATTCCTCTCCACCTGATTTATAATTCTCACCACCATCCATGTGTATGATGGTTGATGGACACTGATGTTTGTCCAGTCTTTGGTGGGGGGAGCAGCTTTCACTGAAGATAAACTCTGGATGAGGTGAAGGATGTCTTCAGGCCGTGTGAGCTGCTCCACCTCAGAGCTTCTCTGCATAAGCTCAGAAATCTCCTGCTTTATCTCCTTCATGCGGCCTTCAGCCTGTTTCTCTGCTGTTCTTTGCTGCTCTTCAATTGTCTTGATCAGCTCTTTCAAGCTGCTCTTTGCAAACTCTATTAAAGATGTGAAGATCTGAACACCTTCTGCTGTCACTCTGTCTGCCTCTTCCTTACTGAGCTGCACAGAGTGTTTCATTTCCCCAATCTTAATCTTTCTTTTCTGGATCATCTCCTGAATTTCAGCCTCTGTTTTCTCGAACCCTGCCTTCTTTGCTTCATATTCTTCTGTCAGAGGAACAACATCATGACACTTGTGGTTCGAAACAGAGCAGATAGCACAGACACACCTTTGGTCGGTCTTACAATAGAGCTCCAGCGGTTTATCGTGTTTTGAACATATCATCCATGTCAGGTTCTTAACAGGGTCGATCAGCTGATGTCTCTTCAGGCCTGAAACAGTCTGATGAGGCTGCAGGTGAGTCTCACAGTAGGAGGTCAGACACACCAGACAGGACTTCAGAGCCTTCAGTTTGGTCCCAGTACAAACATCACAGAGAACTTCTCCTGGTTTAGCAGACTGTTGCTCTGATCTCCTCGTGCTGCTGCTGCTGGCTTCCTGCTGAGCTGACAGCTTGAACTGAGCAGCCATCTCAGAGATGAAAGTATTGACATGGAGCTCGGGTCTTGTGTAGTACTTCCTTTTACAGACGGGGCACTCACACAGAGGACTGCTGTTCCAGTGCTGAGTGATGCAGTTCTTGCAGAAGTTGTGTCCACATGGTGTACTGACTGGATCTGTGAACACTTCCAGACAAATGCAGCACAGAAACTGGTCTTCAGACAGCAGACAGCTGGCAGCAGACATGTCCACACTGGGAGGATAAATGGAGAGAAAGGAAAAACTGTAACTGCATTATCGTTCAATAATTCAATAAACAGTGAGACAATGTTTGGAGGCTATGATTTACTTGATTTCTTTGTTATGTTTTCTTCCTCCTATTCACCTCTAATTTTGGACCAGTTGTCTAAAAATTATTTTATTTAAATTAAACTGATCAGTGCAAAACAAGTTACTAAATTTAAAAAAAAATATCTGTAAATTGACACCGATTGTGGCTAATCTTTTAAACAACACAGCTACTCAGGTGAAATTATATTAAAAAAATTACTTTGGTTTTCTGTGGAGAATTCAGCTGTATGGAAATAAAACAATTCAGCCAAATATTTAATTTTATGTTAAATGAGTAAACTGCATGTTCAAAATTCAAATTAGTTAATCTTACTAAGAAAAGGCATCCAAACTGAGTGTTTTTTCTTGTTTCCTGTTGAACTACTGCTTTACCTGCAATAAAAGGTTGTTCCCATTTGATATCTGGCTGCTTATGAGTCTATATTTGGGATCCTCATTCACCTTCTAACGTGACACCCATCCACATATCCTTTAAAAACCTGACTGGCGGTCCTAGTGCATGAGTCTGCTATAGGACTGATTTTACATCAAAACAAAACTCTTGCCATTCAAGTAATTTGCTAATTTATTTTTTATTAGTAGTAGGTATTTTACTTTTCCAAGGACATTTGAAGTCTGTATTGTTGCCACACCTTTATTGCTATTATAACATTACTTTTTTAACACTGAGTTTGTCACACAGTGGAAATGTATGTTTTTTTATGGTTTGTGTTGTCTTGATCTTATTGTGTATTGGTGCCTACAGTGCTGATTCTATTTGCATGGTTTTACCCTGATATTTATATTGCATGTTTTAGTGTTATTGCATGACATTATTTTAATCCACTGTGGACTGGGCGGATAATAGCAGGCACCTGTTGAGGTGTGGGCATTGAGGGAGACCGTGTTTGCAGTAATCAAGAGCCCCAAGTGAGGAGTGCGGCTGGGGTGTGAGGCAACGCGCCCGTCAGGGAGAGACAGAGCCGAGATAGGAGGTTCCTCCTTGGCTTTCAGCCTGGCCTGGTCTCTATATTGGTAAATGGTAAATGGCCTGTATTTGTATAGCGCTTTTACTAGTCCCACCTAGGGACCCCAAAGCGCTTTACACACCCAGTCATCCACCCATTCAC